CTTAAGATTTCTCTTCTGGTGGAATCACACCATTACACGCAGGGAGGTGAAGCCATGGTGAGCTGATTTCTGCCCCCCCTTCCAAAGCAGAGCCCCACATATTTGCAGACAAGTATGCACATGCCCCCTGGATATTCTCAGCCCCCAAAGATTCCAGCCTGCCTTGCTCTGGACCACTTGGCATGTGATAGCAGCCATGCACATTTGGCAGAGACATTTTTAGAAACTTCCAAGCTATGAATTCACTGTTCCATTTTGGTAAAGCCAGTTATGCAGAAAGCATTTCCAAAGCAGAACCTCAAATACAGACTTGATTTCCCCTCAATTCTTGGAGAGGGGAAAAGATAGTATTACACATTTATTTTCCCACAGAGAGTTACCCAGTAATATTTCTGTATTTGCTGACACTACAATCAATAACAAAATAATGACAAATAAAATCAGTCTTTTCAGCACAGTTACACCGTATGTTAAGACTATTTGCAATTCTTTCCGCGAGATCTGTGTTTTATTACAATCATTTAAAGATGATTTTCCTTGAAAACATACATCTACATGCTTAGGAAGCCACCTTCACACTTCAGGGATGTACTGGGGAGATGCCCACAACTCCAGCCATGGCAACACAGATATCCGGCAGGCACCTGCTCCTTGGCCTTTCCACTGTAGCCATACTGGAATAGAGACCAGGATCACATCTGCATCCACAACCTGCTAACCACATGCTGGCAACACAGCTAAATATCCAACAGTGTTATTTGGCTCCTGACACACCGGGATCAACTTCCCCTTTCCATAGGTGTTCAGAAACAACAAACTGATCTCAGTGGTTGGACTCCATAGGCAGGACCCAACACAGATGCTCACAAGCTCTAAAACTTTAAATGTGCTGAGGCATCAGAACTGCTCCATCCTCACCCCCAAGTGGCTCCAGCTGCACAGCAAAACACTCATAGACCTTTAAATGGCCTCAGCCCCCTTTGCTGGAGGACAGTTCACCACCACCCAGCTGATGAGCAGGAGTTCATTAACCCACAGCTGCTTGATTACTCCCAGCTGCTTGTCTCAGACCCTGAACTCCACAGCAAGAGTTCAGGCCATTTTTGAACTCTCAGTAGTTCCTTGCTCCTCCTTTTAAAGGACTGATACTCTTCGAAGGAAAACAATTTTCACTACAACTGTTTTGTTAGAGTGAATCCCACCATCACCCTGCAGTGACCACATCCGATACCTGTTTGCTTTCACTTGTGTACGAACCTTCCTGCACAGCCATGAACACTTCTGCAGAGCCCTCTTTCTTTCTTCCTCTGAAGCTCCCCAGACACCTTCTGCAGCCCTGGAGCTCCTGGTCTCAGGAGAGCTCCAACCCTTAGCCCCAAGTCATGCCTGAGCCCAAAAGTGCAGAGGGAGCAGAGGCCATGCTCTTCTCACCATCCCTGACAGGTCCTGCTGCACTTGTCTGGAGGAATTTGAAGAGTGAAACACCTAAGAAAACATTATCCCCTTCAAACAAACTGGTTTTATGCCACTTTTTACCCTTCACAACAAAACCTCAGGTGTGCAGCAAACACAAGACCCTAAAACACACCATCCTGAGTGATTCAAACCCCATTTTCATACTCAGAGTCAGCCACAGAGACCAGTGGGCTACCCCAAAGGCAAAAGATGCAAATATAAATAACCCTGTAGGCACAGAACTGCACAGGCCTAACTTCCCCTGGATAACATATCAGACAACAAAAAGCCAGGCACAACCATCTCCTCTTCCCATGGCACTGCTCCCACTCACTTATACCAAAAAACCAGATACGCAGACCTACCTTAAAGCCAGGAACGAGGTCTGTAGGTGAGGAGCAAGCCAGACACCATGCTGCAGCCTGGAGGAACGCCATGTGAGCACGCCAACCCAGCCACCCCCAGCTGTGGGCTATATGCTCTGATTGAGGCATCCCACTGCGCCTAGGAGCAACCCAAGGCACCTACCACCGGCTCTGGCTCTGCTCCAGCACCCAACCACCAGGCCAGGGTGTCTGCTATCACTTGGGGTCCTTGGGCCCGTGCATTAGGGATTCACCGAATCACCCCTCCCACCCCAAAGAGGAAGTAATATTTATCTTGCTGTCTCCCTGTTTCTTTCTTTTCAGGTTTGTGGCCCATCAGGAGCCTGGATGCTTTCTGGCTGCCAAGAGAAATAAATGGGTCAAGTACCAAGTGCTGCAAATCAACCCAGGGCGCATTTCTACTCTTCCCCTCTCCCAAAATGCCCAGTTGTCCTCGATCTTTTTTCACTTATTAGCCCTGTCTCTAAGGACTGTAAATTGACAGTGAGTTTAGACAGAGCAGGTGTTTGCAAAGGAATAGATTATTTTTTTAATGAAATCCGGATGCAACACAAAGCAAATGCCACAAGGAAGGTCCTCAGAAGTTATTCTTTGCCCTCAGAGTGTTGCTGCAGGTCAAGGTCTGGAAGCTAAGATTTCAGTAACAGGAGAACAGAACAAAACCCAAGACATTCAGCAGCAGACCACCTATTTTCCCACATTACAATCTGCAATCCAAAAAGATCATCCCTTCAGAACAAACTTCACTGGAACTCTCAGCACTCTGAGAAAGCTGCTGCTTTTTTAAGGTTGATCTGTTCTGACGGGAGCACGTTGCAGAGATAAACCCAGTGTCACTTCCTGCAGACAGTCGCGCTGCATCGCTGCTGAGCGTCCCAGTATCTCAGAGATTAGCAACAACCTATTTTTACATTGCATCCACACGAGGGAGGAAATACTGAGGCAGTCAGTGCCTGGCCACCTGCAGGGACCGTGCTTCAGAAGGATGAGACTGTTTTTGAGCTGACTGAAAAGGCTAAAGCTGTGCTGCTATATCTGGCCTAGGAGCAGTAAGTAGTCATAGAATCATAGAATGGTAATGGTTGGAAAGGACCTCAAGATCATCTAGTTCCAACCCCAATGCCACGGGGGAAAAATTCCTAAAAAGGGAATTTTATTGATGGCTCTGAAGTTGCATAGAACAGCACTGCATTGCTGATACAGAAAATGGGACCTGCTACCCATTATATTAGTATTCACAGTGATTAATTAGAAATACATTTATAATCTCAATGATCTTCACATCTTAAATACTGTGTTTAAAACCGTATTTCCCAAGACTGGGGGACAGATGGACACACTTTTACCACCCTTTGTATGTTTGTACCCGTCTGTGCAGAGGGGCACAGGGACAAGCAGGCTCCAGCAAGGGCAGGAGCCTGATGCTCGAGATGATTTGTGTGAAATGCAACAGCCTGTATCGCTGAGCTGGATGGAACTTGCTCCGTTGTAGCCCCGACCTGCAGACAACACAGTGCTCTCCTTGGTTGGCAGTCTGCTCATCAGAAGACTTCCTCCAAAGCAAGGCTTTTATTGTTAACAAAAAGCACACGTGTGTTGACTTTGTGCAACAATCGTTTTTTGAGCTGGGTAATTTCTCCCTTATTCAAAAGATGGGTATTATTTCAATCCGTGTGTAATTCTGTATCCTAGGAAAGGCTGCAGGAAGGGTGCACTGAAATATGGTGCATAAATGACCAGGAAAATGCCACGTCCATTCTATCTGCCTATTACAGGACTTCCAGGTCAAGAAAAGGCTCCTGACTCTCATGCAGCGGTGCCCTCTGCGGGATGCACCAACCCCAGTGCAGAGGTTTCCAAACCCCTTGTTACTGCCTCAAGATGAGGCTCAGGTGTCAACTCTCCAGCCAAAGCCCTTGATTCCGAATGCCACTACAAAGTCCAGCTTTTCTTGTTGACGCACATAGCCACATAATCGCCACTTCAACTGCCCTGTGCTCCACTCTGGATTACTACAACCTACCACCATGGTATTTAACCAAAGTTGTAGCAGCTGCCACCAAAAGGGTAAATTGCGACTACTGACAAAATCTAGTAAGTGAGTATCATCAGTGACAAACTAATCTGCCTCTTCTCTCTAAACATACTATTGAGAACTAACTGCAAGGGTAACCTAGCCTCAAATTTCACAAACTCCTATACTGCAGTTTGACTGATGTATTTCTTACGGTACCTGTAGCCCTGTCTTTGAAGAAAGTTTACTTCTAACTACTAAATTAAGGCAGTATTTAACCATTCTGTGAGAATTTCCTAAACCCAATGTCAACTTTACCCATCAACTCTGAAAAAGCAATGAAACAATTTCCAAAGAAGACAACATCAGTTTTAAAAACATCGCCGTGTAGTTTTTGGTACTTCAAGGCACTACATGGAGTATGGCAGTTTGGTATCATGATATTAAATCAGTTCCCATTACTAAAGCATAAGAGATAGGGAAGGTAATAATTGTAGAAGATTTTACTGAGAAAAGATCAACCGTATTAGCAAAACAAACTTTCCAATGCACAGTTTGGCAGTATTCTGCAAATACAGAGTACTAAGTAGAATTTTATAAAGAAAAGGAGAAAAAAGGCTTTTGATTTCAGTAGATGGGCAATGTAATTCTCAAACAGATTGCATGAACTAAAAGTTACAAGTAGGGCTCCCAATTTTGCTTTGTTCAGAGCCCTCCACGGCCAGAAGAATAGAACCAGACTGTGTGTGCCATGCTCCCAGTAAACACAATCCGTAAGCAACCATTGCTTTTAAGTATTAAGCAGAATTTTTATATGAGGAATTATTCAGGCTCTTCCAATCCATTAGACTTTGGTTTTAAACAAAACTCAGTTTACATAGATACAATAAATAGTTTATTAGTGGAATGTATGTGAGTTTCTCTCTTCCATCCTTCCTCTTACTCTCAGTACCTCACACATAGATGTCAAAGCAGCTTCCAGTCCAAGCCAAGGACCAAAGTCAACTTCAAGGCAAAATGAAGAGATGTTGAGAGTTAAGATTGGCACCTTTCAATGCCTAGTTCCTCAAGTGTTTGTCTGGTTCCTCAGACTAACAGGCAAATTGGTGTTTCTTCTTTCCACACCTTGATCTATCTGCTTCTTCCCAACTTGTGTCCATTTAAGCTGTTCTTAGGCAGGTCGCATGCTCCATGGGGACAGTATAAAGTCACGCCTGCTCTAACGCTCTTTCGGCTATTGCAATATCCCTTTTTGTTTTTAATTTAAAAGCCTATCGTTGTTATGTTCTCTCTTTGTGATCTTTTGTCATGATTCAGTTTAGCTTTGGAATTTTACAAAAATGGGAAGAGTCTTTTCTTCAAAATATAGAGCACCGTGGCCAGGAATAAGGCGAGGGCGAGGAAGATGAGCAGCTTGTCCGTCAGCTCCCTGCGATTGTACTTGGTGATTAGCTTCCGCCCCAGCTGAATGGTCCCAGACATGGACTTAAATTCTTCATTTGCTTCCAGGATGGTTCGTGAAGAATTGGCTGAAATTGAGGAGGAAAAAAAAAAAAAGAAAAAAAAATCAGCTGGTTGCACTTCAAAAATACATGACAAAGGATGTAAGGGTGCAGCATTTGGCAATACAAATAGTGCCTGTGAGCTCCTTCTGGGTCAGGCTGATTTATGGGTAAGACAAATGCTGACTGTGTTCTTGCAGAATCCTTCACAACTCAGTAGTCCTGATGTGCTAAGGAAAAATGCAAAGCAAAATAAGATTGCTGAATGGCTTAAAGGCTCTACATCCTGACACTGAATTTTTAAAGTTTTAGCTCGCCAGATAGAATCTAGCTCATATTCTTTATGGGGAAAAAACCAAAATCAGTGCTACCTGAAAGCTCACTGGAAGCAGAGTGAAATAAGAACGGTGCCAGAGCCACCAATTTAATAGAGAAATCACCATTACCGTCAACATTCGTTCTAGCAGCAGTGGGACAGGTCAGTATTTGAGTGTATTAATTGCACAACTGAAACTGCTCCCCCTTGCCAGACCAGTAAATCAGTGTGATTCAGTAAGGCCTGAAGACAGTGAAAAAGCAGCACCAGCAGTCAGAGATCCTTAATGGCTCAGCTCAAAAAATTTAAACAGGTTTTAATAATTATCTTTGACAAACCCTTTTTTTCCCCACTCCCCATAATAAAAATAGAAAATCAACTAGAGAAAAAGTGTGGTGATTGGTCTCAACTAAAGGGAGAATTTGAGAATATGCCAAAATAGCAAGATGGAACATTGGCCCCTTTCAACTTCTTTCCCTGCAAGAAAACTATCAAACAAATACCCCAAACTTCTCGGCCTTCCTCCTTTCAAATTACTAAATGACAGCAAAAGCCCAGGAGTCCTCTTTTTCTTCTGTTACAGAATGCATACCATGTACAGTAAATGCTGGTACATCACTCTGTGCTGAACTAATTGATTAAAGAAAGGTCCGACTCCAAGCATATTGCCTGGTTCACAAAACCAAGCACAGTAGAACTATGTCTGTAAGATTTTGCAAGCCATTACATCCCATCTTAAAGACTCATTTTGATCTAAGTGAAAATAGAAAACTTGTTTCTCATCATTCATGACAGAGCAGAGCTTCCCTGCCTCATAGCAACGTGTATTCACTGTGTGCTAGGAAAGGACTTGCTCAGAATAAAGGGAATTCTAACTACTGATTCAGAATTTGCAGCTGGGTTTTGTAAATGACCTTTGGCAGTTTTTCCCTTGATGAACTCCAAGTGCTGTTCAGTCAGAAACAGGGTGAAAAAGTGACTGCCAAATTGTCTTTTCAATGAGAGAAGAAACATGCTGCTTTTGCAGGAACAACCAGTGCCCAGCTGCCATCCTCAGATGGGGGCAGAAATCAAGGAGGGCAAAAGTTGCGTTATTTATCCTCATCTTTAAACTGTTCCCTCTCCTGCCCAAAAGCACAGCTAGTAAGAGGCCCAGGCATCACAGATTCAACTTCCAAATGCTTCATGAATCACCAGTTCTGACAGGTCACTTGATTTATGGTCTTGGGAGCCTAAGCCAAAGAACTGGGTGAAATCTTGGTTTCACAGTCCCTGATGCACTGCTGACAGAGCAAATGACCTTGGGTTCAAGTCACTTGATCTCCTTGTCTCTTAGTCATCCCAGCTGGAGACTGGGTGAAAAGAGTCTCCAGCCATACTAAGTTTCCTCTGTGTATGGACTTGTATCTATGCTTTTATTTTCTCTATTACCAAATGCATGCCAGGACAGAGCACTGAGTAACACCAAACACTCTCAGCACCGTGAGAGCTCACAGTGCTTTTACAATTGCTTTATGTGAAACTAGAACAAAAGCCCCTCATCCAGCCCCCTTTTCCTGACCTCTTTTCCTTTTCATAATCATGAAACAGAAACTCCCACAAACAGCTCCATGCCATGTACACTGTCATGTTCCATTTATGTCCCAACTGTTAGAGGAGTTCTGCTGGATGGTCCTTTAATTATCACCTTAGTACATTCTCCTGCAGCAAAGCATGTTTCCACTACACTCCACACCACGTGAGTTTGCCCCTATCCATCCTAACAGGACTGGCGAAAGGCACTTCCATAATCCAAACCATACCGGAACACCCAAATAACACCTGTACCTAGGGTTTGCACGGTCTCCTCACTCTGCTGGACTTGCTGTGACATCATCCTGCTAATGCCCATCAGACTCTCTGTGATGTTACTTGCACTCTCTGCCAGACTTTCCTTTGTAGTCTTCCTGAGAAAGGGAAAAAGTAAAGCAAGAAGGGATAAAGTTATGTCTTCAGGTACTGTGGGAAAAATGCTGCTGCCGGGGAGCTTGGAACAGAGCTTGGCACCACGCATCTCTGCCAGCGTACAAAAGACACGACTAGTTTTACTGAGTAAGAAATTTAGATTATCTTCACTAAATAATCAAAAGAAATCCCAAAATATTAAAACCAAGAGCCAAAATAATGGCTACTGGCTCAGAATCTCATGGGAGCCCATGCCGCACCACTTACTCACCCATGACTGTGCACCTTCATGAGCTGCTATGGAAGCACTGATACAAACTACCACATTATTACCCTGAGTATCCCACTTGTTGCTTTCAGTACAAAAATGATATATGCTTATGCCCAGTTTTGCATGTGAGAACAGCTTGTATAATGATCCATTACTTGTTTATAACCCTGATTGGAATTAACACAAAAGACAGTCAGAATAACTCTGGAGGCTAACTTATGCTCTTTTCCACTTAGACATAACTATGCCATGAAAACCTGACGTCAGCACAGTCCTTAACAACTTAAACCTCCACCAAAAGTAAATGCACTCATAAACAAAAGCCATACGCCACATACAGTTAAGTAACTTAAAACCATTGTGTCGCTTCTATTTAAAGCCAGTCGATACAGCACACACTGTTTAAATCTCAGATCATGCAGTGGGATGGTCCAATACCTTTGTCTTAAGGAGTCCCTTCCCTGCAGCAGCTGGTCTTTCTCAGAGTTGTCGATGGCAATTTTACAAGCTAGATTTGCCTTTCTCCAAGCTGCCTGATTGCTGAAATCACAAGAGCACAATGTTATAACATGATGGCATTACTCTGCAAGCAAAACAATCTTCAGAAAGCAATTACCACTGTAACTGAGCACCCAGATATGCGCATGGACTTTCTCTATATTACACCACAGAGTAACAATATCCCATCATGTCATTCCT